ACTTCCGGGTCGCTCGGCAGCCGCTGTCGTGTTGCCGGAAACTAAGAGCGGCTGCTTCCGTCGCTCGCCCTGGAGCCGGCCCCAGAGGCTCATGGGAAGACCGGGATCACAGCTCCACTGCACATTCGCGCCGTCGCGGGTCGGGTGGGTTCTTTGAGCCAGTGGTCCCGTTGTGCATGCGCTACTCAAGGGAAGCGGAATTTACCCGGAGATGGGATCCCAGAACTGGAAGGACTTAGAGGGCATTAAGCCAGTGTCTTCGTGGCTGGAAGTTCCTCCTTGGCATCCCTGCGCTTGCACTTCACCGGCAACGGGGTGTTCACTACCTCACGGCCTTTCCGTAGACACCTCCCTCCTACAGTGGGCTCTCGCTTAGTGGTCTCCTAGGGTCGTGGCTTCAACGGGTGTTGTTTTCCCGTTATCTCCAATTCCATAGCCCAGTTTCCGACCCGCTATAACTAGTATCGTTAGGGAACGCTTCCTTCCCACGTTCCCTGGTTTTTTTGTTTTGTTTTTTTCCCTTGAGATAGGATCTCTGTTGCTCAGGCTGGAGTGCAGTGGCGCGATCACGGCGCACTGCAGCCTCGACCTCCCGCGCTCAAGTGATCCTACCCCCTCAGCCTTCCCAGTAGCTGGGACTACTACGAGTGAACGCTACCACGCCCCTTTAATTTTTGTATTTTTTTGTAGATGGGCGGGGGGTGTCTCGAACTCCTGAAGCCAGGCTATCCACCCGCCTTGGCCTCCCGAAGTGCTGAGATTACAGGCATGCGCCCCTGCGCCCAGCCCTGGATTGGATTTTTTAAACCCGCGCCCCGTGAACTGTTAAGACTGAAGGAGCGCCACATGAGCGTCAGTGTATCCTTGGAACCCCTGAAATTGAATGCAAAATGTGGCACATCTGTGTGTATGAGTTTTTTTCTTGAGGAGAGGAGCCCTAACTTAAAACTACTGGGACTTAAAACCCCAGTGCAGGCCGGGCGCGGTGGCTCACGCCTGTAATCCTA